GATAAAATGCTATAAAAACGTATACAACAGATTAAAAAACAACAATTTTTATTAAATTTATACGTGCAATTATTTATCACAATATATTAGCGTTATTGGAATATTTAGCCCAATCAGTATTACAAGGTACTACTGGTAAAATCCAACCTAAAGGAATACTGCTAGATGCTGATATTTTATTTTCATCAACAATATATTTATCCCAGCCTCTCCTATAATAAATGAATAAAATTATTTTTTGAATATTTAAAACCAAATAATAATAATAATACCGTATTTCAAGGAATGTATAGTTATCAAACACCATTTCATGAGAACTAAAATTCTGCCCAAAAAGAATATGATCCCATTCTGCAAACTTTTCTTGAATTTCAATTTCTCGTTTTTCATGTTTTTTTGCTTCAGCTTCGGTAAGCATATTTTTCAATTCTTCTTCTTCTTTATTGTAGTCTGTTAATTTCTGATGCCAAAGTACTTTTAGTTTATCTATACAAATAAATATAAATAATATGTATACCAATTTATTTATTCATTTTACAATTATATACTTATGGAATTTTCTAGAAGTGGATTTTTTCTTTTGTTAACACAGTTTTGAAGTCTACATTTTCTTAATTTTTCTAAATTATCTAACAATGATAACTGATTTTTAGCATCTTCGATTTTTCCTCTAACTCCTTTCAAGACAATGTTGGCTTCAATTTTAGTTTTATTAACCTAAAATAAAATAAAGATGTATTATAAATAATAAATAAATGATTGAAAATTATTACTCTTTTTTCTTGTAATATATTTTCATTTAATGTATTTTGCCAAGCATCAATCTTTCTGTTTATTTCTCTTATTTCATCTTTTTGTTGAGCTTTTATAATTTTTAGATTAGATTTAAACCTCTTTAATCTATTCCTTTTCTTTTTTCTTTTGGCTAATCGAAATTTTAATTCAGACATTGTATCAGTATCAAARTCTAACTTTTTTAGTATGGTATCTATGTATTTCTACAAAAGAAAGTAAACATGATAGTTAATTTTAGTTTTAATCATTACTATTATTTATATATTATTTACTTTATTTAAGATTAAATCAGAGCAAGCCTTTTTCCAYTCGGATTCAGACATAGTTGATACATTTTGTTCCATAAATATTTTTTTATTACACATGTTTTCTAATAATTGTTTACATTCTTTTACATAATTGCTAATTTGGTTGATCTAAAAATAAATTTAAATTAATAATTGGTAAATATAAAACAAATATAATTATTATTTTGGGAGCTTACCTCTACTATATCTGTTGATTTTATATTCTTAATTGTAGTATTTTTTTCTTTGCTGGCTAACCACTTTTCAATCCAAATACTGGTTTCGTCTTTTAAAGCTTTTGGTATAGGACATATATATTGGAGGATGTATTCTTCATCAATATTGTCCGGAAGAGATGAAAATAAATTGCTTATATTCTGATTAGGAGGTACATATTGGTCTTGATAGTATTGATTATTAATATTGCCACCATGAGGCATATAATAGTTTTGTGCTGGCTGATTGCATGGAGATAGATGTGGGTGGTTAAAAGGCATTTGATAATCTAAATTATACATTGGTTGGATGGGCGGAGGCTGCGTAAAAGGTGGCAGAGGCTGCGTAAAAGGTGGCAGAGGCTGAGAAAAAGAAGGTGGAGGTTGTGTTAGCCAGAAATTATTAGCATTAGCCTCAGAATGTATGTTATTATGAATATTTTGTTCAGACATTTTAAAATAATTTAAAAAAAAAATGTTTGAATAACAGTTTTAATTAAGGGAAAAAATGTTAGTGTTTTAAATGAAAAAAAAAAAGTAAATTATAGAAATTAATTAATTAATTAATTTCTTTTTCAGCCTCAGCTAAAAACTTTTGAGCATTTAAATAATCTTCTTCTTCTTTTAGTTCTTCACAATCAGCTATAACACTTTTCAAATCTTCAAATGCAGCTTTTAATCTTCTTTGAGTGTCTGGTATCATCATCTGTGACTCCCTAAGTACTTCTTCTTGCTTTTTAAAAGTATTCTCGTCAATTCCTATAAAAATAAAGTTATATATTAAACAGCATACACTTTGTTATATTAGAAATATAATATRCTTAATATAACTTATATTCATAATTTTTTTAAGAAACAAAAATCGTTTGTGATTTTTGCATTTCTTAAGAACTAGAAAAATTATTTGAATGGTATTTTAATAAGGTTTGTAACTAACTAGTAAGATTTTAATATAAGTTATAAAAACCAATTAAAACTAATACAAATTTTTTCTTATTTTAAAAATTAAAAGATGACACAGCTAAAATTATACAAAACTAAGTTTATGAAGTTTAKAAGTTTACTTCTACAAAAGACTTACAAAACTCTCTAGATGAGTAATCCCAATGGTTCTCAAAACAGAAGCTAACGCTAAATCCAATCAAAATCTAAACAAAAATRTTTACCCCAAGAAAAAATGTAAATCTAACATTAATACAAATTAACAACCAGAGTTATCYAATAGAAGAATAAAAACCACTCATCATACACATAAACAAAAAAATAAACCAAGAGTACACTAGAATAAATATACTGTACCCATTATTAAAGGAYAACTCAACTCAAGAGATGAAATGCTCATAAAAAAGGACCCAAAAAATATAGATATAAAACATAATTTGTTTGGACATCATACTAAGTTGATATGAATGAAAAATATTCCAAATACCTATACCTAACTTAAAATATTTTTTTTTTAAATTTGTCAATTTTAATGATAAATTAAAATCTTTAAAAGAAACTACCTAAAGTGGCAAGTGGTTGCTGTAACTTAACTSAAAACAAAACATTTAATTATAATTAGGATATACTTTTGTTTTTCACTGTTAAAACAAAATTCTTTAAATTAATACTATTTACCTAGTTACTTGCTTTTAAAATCAGAAATATTGTTTCGATTAAGAATAGTAGGTATCTATACTAGGAAAATAACCAAATCATAGAAAAAAATTTCAATTTTCAATTTCCTTGCRAATTTAATCATGAACATAGGCTTTGAAAAAATATTATCATTAATATATAATATGCATTGTACACAATAAATTTCTTGTTTATACTTCAAATCATTTTTATTATTTAAGTTATAATACCTAGGTTAATATTACTTTTAAATATTTATTAAGTATGGTACTAAAGTTGATATCAAATAAAAATAGAAAATAATTGTTGACTCACCAGCCTTTTTCAATTTCTCAACCTTTTCTAGTTGTTGTTCTGTTTCTTGTATATACATAAGTTTTTCTTTTGTTAATCTTTTCACTACTCCAGTTTTGATCTTTAGTGTCTTAATACGAGGATCAGCCATTACTGTCTTTTCCGTAAAGATATTATAAAATATACGAGAAAGTTATTACCTGTGATGTTACAGTTACGACTGATAAAAGCAACACAGAAAACAGATTACACAATTGTATGTCCACTGTGTTAGAAAATAATGATTGAGAATAACTCCAAAATCAAAATTGTATTTTGTTAGCAGTCAGTATTTCAGTAACYATAGAATGAAAAATTGCAAATGTAATGTTACTTGTTAATTGTTATAGAAATATGACTTTCGAATTTTTATAACCTAAAAACTTAACGTAATTTATGAATAATTATATTCCGTACAAACCATGGGTAAACAAACAAAAATTTCTATAGATGTCTAGATGGCGATATGTATTGTCACAGTGTTGTACCCATAAACCTTGGTGTTAAATATTGAGTAATGGTGTACTCAATGGTGTTATACTGTTTTTGTTATTATTTATTATTCTATTATCTATAAACCTTGGTGCCGCCGTGCTTAACACTGTTAACAAACAAAATGTCAAAATGATTTATTAAATTGATATCAAAAAAGGCGTATAAAAAACAGAACTGTTCATTGTAAAAAATTGCAAATTTGACCTTTGGGTCCTTATTCTATACTCTACGTTACTGTTATTGTTATTAACTATTATTCTTTTCATTGAATTTCTAACCTATTTCAAATTTGTTTTTATTCATAATCTAGCATTTTAAAATTKATATATTATGTGCTTATAACTTAAAAACTATGGATGTAGATGATAATTTTCCAGCAGCTAAGCGCATCATTACGGAAATCCAAAGTATAGTCAATAGTGATACTAATTTGTGAGTATTAGCCAATTCAATTTTATGGTGTAGAAATGTTTTGAAAAATCATAATCGTTTCGCATACCATAACGTTTTAGGAAAGAATTCKACCTAGTCATCCAACCAGAAAGTCAAAATAAATCTCCAGTAATATATATAGACCATTGCTTAGGTCTAGAATCGTGGTGTGTACGCCATGTGTATGAATATGTTTATCAAAGACTTGTTTCTGTAAGAAAACGATTAAAACGACAAGGTAACATTTATTTAACGAATAATTTTTAATAAACTTATTGCTTAATATTGATKATTTTAAAAATGTATGTGTTTTATATGAATATATAAACGTTTTTTTTAGTGTCCAATGAAACAATAACATTACTTACATCTGCTCTATTGTTAAATCCTGAAGTATCAACATTTTGGAATATGAGACGAGAATTAGTTCTTGATGGATATCTGAAACCAGATGATGAATTACAATTTGCAGCTGTTGTTTTGACATTTAAACCAAAATGTGMTGAGATATTCAATTACAGAAGATGGATATTCTTTAACATTTTAAAAGGTAATTCCTATGGTTRTAAATTAATTTATTAATGTAAATGCTCATGTAGGACCCATGTATTATACTAATTATGATTTATTTAAAATATAATATTTTTTGAAGGTTTATAACAATTTATATTGTTCTATCAATATATAATTGTCTTCCTCCTCAAAATAATCAAGTTATGTTATTTAATTCATATTTATGTATTTATCACATTTGTTTATTATACACAAGCTGACAAGCTATAGTTTGTAAATATTTATTAAAAAAAAAAAAAAAAATTATATATGGTATAAAAATCTTATTGATAATATTTTAGGTTAGTTCCAATATATAACAATTTTAATGAAATAAAATAATATCATAGTATCATATTATGTTGATCAAACGTAAATTATGAGTTTGAGAAACATGCACCTCGGGTACAACACTTTTACATTGAATAAATCAAAATATTTTAGCTCATTGGCCATTGCCCATTACGTTCTCAATGGATACAATCAATAGTTTTTATTATATTTAACTAGTATATTTTGACTTCACCTAACCTAACCTATGACTTTGCATTGAATACATTGTCAATAATAACTTTTGTATCTAAATTAAAATTAAATCATAACTTAACAAATTGTATTTTATCTTGGACAAAATCATTTATTAATTGTTTTTATTTTTTTTATATATCTTTAGATTTTAGCTGTAATGATGTTGTTCTCAATGAGTTGACAGTAGGATTAACTGCTGCTGCTGGCTATCCAAGTAATTACAATGCATGGAATCATTGTTTTTGGTTTATTCAAAAATCGCTTGAACATGAGAACTTTTCCTTGATTTCTCTTCAGTGGGAAAAAACTAAAATTTGGTGCCGTGAACATGTATCTGACCATAGTTGTATGCAATATAGACAACGACTGCTTAAATGTTTAGTTGCCGATAAAAGGTGTTTACAGCATCTAGAGTGTTGTACATCCAAGTCTCTTTTGCGATTTTTTAATCCTGATGAAAGGCATAAACTTTTGAGACCATCAGAAGACTATTTTGGTGAAGCAATTTATGTTGTTTTAGATGAATTATATTTTAATGAAGATCTGATTGTGATGTATCAAAGTCATGAATCTCTATGGAATCACCGTAGGTTTTTATGTTATTTATTAGTTAATATTTATAAAATTGACTGTATTAAAGAAGCAATAATGAATAATGAAAAGAGAATTTCTACTAAATTATTAAAAAGTAATGAGTTGTATGTTAAAAAACATATTTTGTGGCTTCAAACAGCATTATGCATTCCAATAAAATTACTTTAACTTTAATAACTACCTTGTCTATTTTGTTGATAAAATAATTTAATTTATTACCTGTTAAAATGTAAAAATCAAAAGTGAAGAAAATGTGACAAATAATGAGTGAGATTTTAATTTTAAATTTAATAATTATTATAGTTTGTAACATCTGTTTGGACATATTTATATTTATATTTAACTGTTGTAACAATAACTTGTTTTTTGTTGTCTCTGAATAAATAAAATAGTCTTGTACAGAAAAACTATTTTTCTTGATATTCTTGTTAACTACAAACTTGGATAATATCAATAATAACTTTGTCAATGACACTAAATTTCACATTATATTAAATATAAATCATGATATAAATTTAGGGATAACATGATAAAACCTAAACCCCTATTTTTTTATATTTTTTTAAATTCATCATAAATTTGATAAAATGTCCACCAATTACAGTTTTTTTGTATGCTTTTAATAGTTTAACAATGTATAAATATCAAATTTGCTTGTCCTAAAAGTAATAATTACGATATAAATTAATTACTAAAATAAATTTAAAAATAGTTATGCTTATTAGCTGTTGGTTCTTAAATTGCCAAAAAAAAGTTAAAAAGTGATGAAAAAATTGTAAGTTGAATTGAAATGAAATACTATTGATTTCTATCAATAGAAGTAAAATAGATTTGATTTTACAAAAATATATATTTATGAGTCATTGATCATAAGAGTGCCTTTGTATCAAATATTTTTCAATATTTTATACTGCAGTAAGCAGGGTATTTTCATGTTATTTTGTAGTTTTCATTTTAAACATTTCAACAAATCCATTCATATTAAAAAAATATTGTGAATCAATAAAGTATATAATTCTATTACAGAATAAGTACACTTTAACTCAATCAAATTCAAAATTCAAAAATACACTTTAAGTATTTCTCTATATATTTTTTTTGCTACAAAGTAAATAAGTAATAAAGGTTTAATATTAAACAATTATTAATTTATCTTGAATATCCTAATTACAGTGTATCATAACTTTAATTGCATTTCCAATCCCAGTTTCAGCTGTTTTAAAAGCTTCCAACGATTCTTCAATTTTAAAATTATGAGTGATTAATGACTTTATGTTTATTTTTCCTGAGGATATTAAAGCCAATGCATCTTGGTAACTAAAACAAAATTATAGCCATTAATAAATATCATAAGACTGAACTATTTAAGTAATTTGTCTATTGATAATATACTCATTAGCATAGCGGAAAGTTCCTCTAATGTCTACTTCTCGAGATAATGCATTGAATAATGGCAATTGAACAATGCCTGATGCTCCCATTCCAACAATTGTTAATACTCCTCCAGATTTTGTAAGCTAAAATATAATAATTTGTTTATCAAGTATGCAACATTACTAAAAGGTAATATCAGTGTGTATGTAAATGGTCAAAAGCCAAGCGTTGATCACATTTCACTCATGGTTCTGAAATGTTATACCTTAGTAATCCTATACTCGAAGATGTACACTTTAAAGATGAGTATTTTTAATTTTAAAGACGCTCTTACAAAAAAACTTATGTTTGTTTAAATAGGGTTACCATTAATTGCAAAAAATAAAATAGTTATTGTACATAGATACAATTTTAGACCTATATTTTACACTTCAACTTAGTAATAACAGTCTAAATAACYGTGTTATTAGTTTGTGACGTATACATAATTTAAAGTAGTTTAAGAAGGAGTAAGTTCACTGACATTTAATTTGTGACAGGCCACCCTGAGCAAGATCAGCAAGACACTATACTATATTATATAAAATAATGCAACTATTGCAACTTCTTGCATCATTAATGTCAGCAAAAATTGTATTGGTCAAATACTCAGTCTACAAAAAATATAAAATATATTTTAATGTTTACCTCTATTCCCATTTTGATTGTTTGTTGAAAACCACTGCAATCGATAGTCACATCTGGAAGTTCATTGTCCATCTCATTTCTAACATTTTCTATTGCTTGTTCATCTGAATCTCCTTTATTTACTCTAATTGCTTTGTAAGCTCCCATTTCTTTAGCCATATTCAATCGAAATTCTATTAGATCCGTTATATAAATTTTTGTAGCCCCCATAGCTTTTGCAGTAACCAATGTAACCAAACCAATTGGTCCAGCTCCTAAAATTAATACTGTAGAACCGACTTTAACACCTCCTCTTTTACAAGCATGGACTCCAACAGAAAGTGGTTCTAATAGGGCACCTTCTTCTAAAGATATATGATCTGGTAATCTAAAAATGAATATATATAATTTATACAAATGAATAATAATTAGGTAGTCAAATATAAATACTAAATCAATATTTTAATCATCTACCTATTAGCTATTACACAAAATAACATTGGCAATCGATCAAAAAGTCTGTTTTTTTAAATTACTATTCCAACAACTAATCAAACCAAGATTTTATACAAAAATAATCAATAGGTTGTTAAATGTTTAGTAATTAGTTACCTATTAATTTACAATAAATTATGTACTTTAAGCAAAAAAATCAATATTTATAAAGAAAATCCTACTTATAAMAAAAATCAGC